CCTGCCAGGCTCCTCTGTCCATGGGATTTCCCAGGCAAGAATACTGGAGTGGGTTGCCATTTCCTTCTCCTGGGGATCTTCCTTGTCTCCTGCATTGGCAGATGGGTTCTCTACTGCTGAACCACCTAGGAAGCCAATTACTCTAGTTGCTTCTCCTAACTGTACTAAAATTTGGGGAGTATTTTGGCTGAGTAATATTCGGATTCTTTTGGTTAAGAGATGATTCCGTAAATAATACTGAAGAGTAGCCTTCTCAAATTCCAGACTTCCATTTCCTTGGGATGTCATAACTAGGATAGGATTAAGCTCTCCATCTTCCTTATGATAGCACCATTCTTGGTTTTCCCCATGCTTCCTCCTGCTGATGATGCAGGAGGTGCATCCTGCACCCACAGTCACATCCACACCCCTGCATCTCCACCGTCCACAGGGAGATGATCGCCTCGTCTTCCCGCCTCTATATGGCACAGAGCCCAGCATCCCCCAGTGGTGGAAGCTGGGTTAGCTTTTGTGTGAGTGCAATAGGAAGGTGGCTTTCTCCCACTTCTCCTCACTCTGGAAAATTACCAAGGGCTATCCTTCACGGGCGATTTCCCAGGTGGCTCAGTAAAGAACCTGCCTGCCAGTGCAAGAGATGCCATAGATGTGGGTTCAATCCCTGGGTCAGGAAGATACCCTGGCAAAGGGAATGGGCAACCCACTCCAGTGTTCGTGCCTGGAGAAGCCCATGGACAGAGGAGCCTGGCAGACTATAGTCCATGGGGTCGCAAAGAGTCAGACACAGGTAAACAACCAAACAATAGCAGTCTTTCAAAGGACATGCTCCACAGGATGGAAGGCAATAGAATTCTTTATAAAAGTACTCTTCAGAAGCAAAGTGCTGTTAACCAGTTGGCGTACAAAACACCCAGGTGTGGTCTCAAGCTCCAAGACCTACATTACTGCCCCATTCACTGGCATTATGCATCTTCTTATAATATCCTTCAAATTTTGATATTATAAAGAGTAAGACACTGGGGAATCTCAAGACCTTGACAGTAAGTAAATTCACATGCATGTCAAAACACTTAACAAGTTTGTCAGTGATCATATACTGTGCCCACTGATGCTAACGACTTAAGCAAATACATTATTTCTGGTACCATCACATGCTGATTGACCTTCAAGGTTAAAGAAGCTAAAACATCACTCTTTTAGGTATATTTGGATAATTTTGATAAATATAATTAAATGTGAACTCGTCAAGGATGGGAACCTCAACTTATGAATATTGTTCTCTCTTATCCCTTAAAATAATACCTGGCATTTAGTATCTTATGAACATCTGAGGGATACACGAGTGGATAGCTGTAAACTGTGTAATTAGATACAAATGAGTTTGGGTCCTTTTTTTTTTTTTTTAACTTTTACTTATTTATTTTTCTAACACCAGAAACATTTTGTATTGGGGCATAGCCAATTAACAATGCTGTGGTGGTTTCAGGTGAGCAGCAAAGGGACTCTTGTTTCCATTTGCTTTTGTCCATTTTAATTTGTAAGTTGTGTTTTTACATGATCCAGTGCTACAGTGTGATAGGACAAAATACAATCACTAACATAGAAAATACGATTAAACAATCTGTGTTCTATAAGTATTTTGTTAGTAACTTGGGGTGCTTTCTGTGTTGCTTGGTATGTTGTCCAGAGTTTAAGCAACATTTGTTGCACCCACCACTACTGTGTTAAAACCGTCATTTAAACAAACAAACAAAAAAACCCGTCATTTTTGTCTGTTGACTGTTTTTAGATTCTGCAAGGTGAGAGGACATCCATCTTGTTCATCAAGCCAGCACCTAGCTCCATGCCTGCCAATACAGTGGTGATATATTGCCAGTAAACATTCGTTGAATAAATAAATGAATGAAAGACAGTGAATAGGACAAGTTTTTTGCTTTCTTGTAATATAGTCTAGGAGAGAAGGGTTGGCAGATTGTGGTCAGTGCTCTAATAGTCGATGGTGTTAGATTCAGGGGCTGTGGAGTGATTCGCAATTAAAAATAATTCTGTGTTTGAATGGCTGAAGCCTGTCTTCAGAACTATTAGAGACTTACAGGGTCTAGCAACACAGGAGGTGGGCAAAGTTGAATGGTGTTTGAGAAGGAAAAAAAAAGTGAGAGGATAGACGTAACAGTAGGTGAAGAATCCAGAAATCAGTCCCTTTGATGACCCTTGGAAAGAATGAATGTGTGTATTGCCCAGAGAGTAAAAGAGATGACCAGAGAACCAGGTGACACTGTTGACCTCAGAAACAAAACTAAGATGATCCTCAGATAGAACTACGGGGCATGAATGAGCTACATGGTCACTGAGGAAGTGTGGGAATGACAGGAAGAAGTGTACTGAGAAACTCCCCACACTCCCTTCATGTCCATAGATAGGGAAAAGCGAACAACAGTTACTTATTGATGTTCCTTTAAAGAGGTAACATGTCTCCTCCTTAACTCACCCAGTACTCTATCCCTGCTGCGCCTGATTTATTAAAAGTGATGACTCAGTCACTTCAAAGAGTAGGAGTCAGTGAAGGCCAATGGTGGTAAACTAGCCTGAGAATTAGATTCCAGTTCCAGGTCCATCCCTCCCTAGCTGTTTTACCTGGAGAATTTACTTCTCATTTGGGACCCCCATTTCCTCATCTTATTAATAGATCCTTAGACCCACAAAGGGCTTCTCTTACTCGAAAATGATATCATTCTGCCAACTCTGTCCTTCTTATAATCCATCATAATCTTAAGGACACTTTAGTAAACTTGTTCTAAGTTCATTTTTTTAAAAATGGAGAGACTGTGCAATCCAAAGGCAAGATTGAGGTGATGATAGGTAACTGGGTGAGATACTGCCGCTTAACAGGAATAAGGAGCTTCCTGGGTGGCTCAGACGGCCAGGAGTCTGCCTGCAATGCAGGAGACCCAGGTCTGATACCTGGGTTGGGAAGATCTCCTGGATAAGGGAATGGCCACCCACTTCAGTATTCTTGCCTGGAGAACCCCATGAACAAACCAGCCCAGAGGGCTACGGTCCGTGGGGTCGCAAAGAGTCGGATACGACTGAGTGACTTAACACACACACACAACAGGAATAAAGCCAAAATTTGCCTTTCAGACTCAGGCACATTTTGGAACATTGAGTATCTGTAGGCAGTGCGTGGGTACGAAGTTGCTTCAGTTGTGTCTGACTCTTTGCAACTCTGTGGGCTGAAACCTGCCAGCTCCTTTGTCCATGGGATATTCTAGGCAAGAATACTGCAGTAGGTTGCCATGCCCTCCTCCAGCGGATCTTCCCAAACCAGGGATCGAACCCAGTCTCTTAATCTCCTACATTGGCAGGTGAGTTCTTTATCCCTGGTACCACCCAGGAAGCCCTATCTGTAGGCCAAATGGGGCTTAAATTTTTGTTCAGTTTTATTAGCAAAAAGGAAAGTGTTCTTGACTTATTTTTATCTATCATAACTTCAACCAAGAATCTTGGATTAATCACACTTTTAAATGTTCTGTCGTTGTGCAAAATTTCCCATTGAGAGGAAAGAAGAAACTCGTTTATTGAGAAAAGACCCTGATGCTGGAAAAGATTGAGGACAGGAGGAAAAGGGGGTGACAGAGGATGAGATGATTGGATGGCTTCATCGACTCCATGGACATGAGTTTGAGCAAGCTCCAGGAGATAGTGAAGGATGGGGAAGCCTGGCGTGCTGCAGTCCCTGGGGTCGCAAAGAGTCAAACACGACCTAGCGACTGAAGAACAACAGCCGCAAATAGAAAAAAAACTAGTCCTACACAGCTGTAATTCCCTCAGTCATTTAGACTGTCAAGAAAGTTCCTTTAGCTCAATCACCTTAATAAAGGTGTTTTGATTTTTAGAAGTTTATACACGATGGAATTGCCCAACTCTCCACTGGATTCTGTGCTGTGGAGACCCAGTTCAGTCTTCTTCCCACCAAGCTATTGCCCCACAACTATCAAGGGAGCTTTGCTAGTCTCTTGTAGGATGACGAGTTACTCAATATAGATGAACCAGATATGTATGTATTCCGCTCGGGGACTATTGGGATCAGTGTATTCAGAGATTTATTACCACCTGATATACTGCCCCATGTGGGGGCATCTTTTTAAATCCACAAGTCACTGCAATTCCATGAGGCCACTTGTGTGATAGGAGGAGGCCTGCTCCCACATTGAAATTTGGCACAGCTAGCGTTTCTCTTTGCCAAAAAGGTCAAAGGCCTTGAGCAAGAAGCCAGCTTTTTCCTGATTACAAAACTGACCACAATTCCTCTCCAACCTATCAGTGTCAGCCTTTTTTTTTTTTTTTTTCCCCCTTTCTGGTAATGCATTATTCCTCTCAGGGAGAACTCCACGTTTTTCATGATGATATGGAATCTGTCCTTCCAGCGTTAACGAACGTTCACACATCAGCTGATGTATATGCTATGGATGGATAAACCTAAGTTTTTGAGAAACAGACCCTGATATATAAAATGTAAGCTGTCTCAGGCCCTGTCTCCAGTCTGTCAATGCTTCAGTTTTAGAGAATCTGGATTGCTATGTCATTTTTTTTTTTTAGTAGACTTCACAAAGTAATAGAGTAAATACCTCAGGACAGAACATTTCAGTAGCTGATGGCAAGTTTTATAAACACGTACTTGAATTCAGACATTTTCTTCAGATATCAGATGATATGACTTAGAGATTCAACCAAGGGTGGGCAGACAGAAAAAAAAAAAAAATCTATCCAAGTAAGTTTCGCTAGTATTTCACAACCCAGAGATGTAAAGTTTTCCATTTTAGAATCAACTGAATATTGAACTGTGTCTTTGCGCTCAGAGTTCTCAGTACTGTCCTGCCCCCGCCCCTCCCAAGACACGAGGGTCACCGGCGAGACAATGTGGCAATGTTTTCCTTGTAATGTACCAGGTCTTGCCAAAGCAGTTAACAGCGTTATGACACAACAGTTTGTCACAGCTGGTCTCCAACAGGAGGATGCCAGCCAGTCCATCCAGGCCTAGTCCTCTGTGAGTTTATTCCCACCTCCCCCAAACATTTGGAAATGGATGTCTTGACTCATTGGTGCATTCCCAAGTTTTACTGCCACACATCTTTTTCTTTGAACGGAACTGGCGTTTTGCAAGAAATAGACCAAGTATCAGTGGGAGTCACGGCAAATCCCTGTTCCACGCTGTGATGGGTGAAACCCTGGGAGATCTTCTTATTGACCCAGAGAGCGAGCCCTTTGCTGTCACAGTGTCTGCAAGTGCCGCACAAGGTAAAGTCAGCTCCAGATTTGGCTATCGGTGTACTCCGGGCATCACGGAAGGGCGAACTTGATCTTGTGGCTTGTCTTCCAAGTGATGTCTGTTCAGCTACTCTGATGTGTGTAGGTCAGTGTTTTGATGCTTAACTTGCTGCTGTTGCGTTCACTTAAAGCATACTCAGAGCTTATTCTTTTAAAGAACAAACAACTAAATCCAGATTTTATTTCTGTCCATGACTCCTATGTCCTGAATTTAAGTATTCAAGGTATATTTATATCCAAAGAAATTCTACTTGTTTCCATAGGGTTGGCCAAAAGACTTGTTCGGGTTTTTCTGTACAATCTTACAAAGAGCCCGAAGGAACTTTTTGGACTACCTAACATTTTCTGGGTTGACATATGTTTTCCCCAAATACCTAAGGTCTTCTTTGAATATCTTTCCTCCTTTTAGCCTTGTGTGTTATATAGCTCTTATAGCAGCATTTATTCATCTTAAAGTACTCTCAACATGTTTTTGCTCTACTTTGAAATCTAGATACTTGAGTGGACATTTTATCTCTCTCAAAGAATTGTAAGCATCCAGGGTATAGGACCAAGTTTTATTCTTTATATTTCCTAGGGTGCGAAGCATAGTGTTTAATGCTTTGTAGAATAGCGTGAAGACCTTGGGGAAGGCCTGTTCTAAGCATCTCATTTTACTGTTGCGTGCTAAGTCAATGATTATTACTTTTACTCGAATATGAAAGATTCAATTAGATATTTCATTTTCAGCATGTCTCTTGGCCTTTGCAAAATGTAAGTTTTTTATTTCTGTAGCTCCTTCTACTGGAGCATATTAGCACAGCTGTTTCTCTTTTATGCTATATCATATTTATTTCTTTTTTTTCCCCCTTCTTGTAGATGCTACGTAAAAATTCATGTGTTAGCTAGTCTGATTCACATTTTACAACATAAATGCTAAAGTGTTAAAATTAAGTTGCTTAATTGTTGAGATGGATGGCTTTACATTTTGATGTTTTAATTTCTCTGAAAGTCTGAAGTTTGAACATATTAATCACAGAATTTTTTAAACATTGAGCTTTTTAAAAGTTAAGAAAAAAATTTCCTGAAGTGACATTTCATTTTATTGTGACATTTGGATTCAATGTATATTTCTGTCACCTGACTCTTTTAAATGGGAGTTTAGTCTTATTATGTTACATAAAATCCTATTATTCTGTTTTCCTACAAATCATAAAAAGTATTGCTATGTTTCTCCAGTTATTAATTTAATCTGCATCAGGGCAGAATGTCCAACCTACATTGTAAAATAATTCTTGTGTCACAATTTGACAGTTTTGTCTGTTTGAAAAGAATATGTCCAGAATGCAGTACAACAAATATTTTAGGTTAACTTAAGCAAATACGTTTATGGTAAGGGATAGTTACGGGTTTTGTGTTAGTTTTCATTCTGCACTAACCTCTTTATTTTTATACCTTGAATTTGCCCTGGGTGTAATTTTTGTGTGTCTCAAATCCCTTTCAAAAGAATAACCCAGTACTTTTCTTCTTAGTTAAGATGGTACAGAATAGAATTACTAGCAGTTAAGAAATTATATATTGTACCAATTACTTAACTCTCATGTTAAATGATCTCTGATTACTCTTTATTCATAAATGTTTTTTCTGTCAAAAATATGTTTCTAAAGGCCAAAGACCCGTGATAGTTCACTTCTATTGTATTTTGTAGATGGCCACTTAAATACTTCACTGATGCCAAAACAAACAAACCTGAAAATAAATTGGGAACGTGGTCATCATTAGCTAATCGAGGCCAGCAGAGATGGAAGCCTGTAGAGATTTAGGTACCTGGCCTTGGTACAGGAATTTATTTGGCTTCTCTTGCTCATCACAGGCAAAGGGAAATAAGGGTGTTGCAAAGATCTGGGTGCTGCTATTGAAGGCAGAGTGGCTCCCTGAGTGTGAACGGTCCAGATTTCCAGCCATACGGGCCCCTTTCATGGACTTAAAAACTCCGCTCTGTGTAGCCTCTGTGCCCAAAGGGGACTTCTGTGTGTTCTCCTGGGCTTCATTATCACCGTGATTCCACGTATCTTATTCCCCTTTTTGTTTTCATCATGAGCTTTTCAAGGAACCCCGAGTAACCCCATGCTGGCCGTGAAACCGTTTCCACTAGAGAAGCTGGCGAGGTTGAAGGGATGCGTCCATAAACTGAAGCTGAACATGCCCCCGCTTTCAGTGCCAGACTGAGTCCTGGGTGAATTCTCTAATTTAAGCTGTTGCACCAGAACACTGAAAGATGATGACACGTCGTCCTTTGGAACTGATTGAGCAATGGAAGTGTGCCTTAGAGACACGACACATGCTGCAATAGATGATTCTTTGAAACGAGAGTCTCTCCTGAGAGAGGGGCGAGTGATGGATTGCCGCCGTTTCTGCTGAGGGAGACTTAAACTGTGGCCGTGTGGCTCCAGGCAGCTGTGTGCTTGGAAGCATTAGACGAACTGAGCCCAGGCTTTCACCTTTCCAGAAGTTCTCAGGGACCCATGTGGTGTCAGGAAATGGAACTCCTGAACTTGTCCTGAACTTGTCCTGGCCATATGCTTTCTGTGTGAATGCAAGCGTGCCATCCATCCCCTCTGCCCTCCGCACATGCGTTAACAGAAAATGCAGGGCTGTTGTGAGGATGAAGCGACATAGCTGTTGCAACGGCGCACCAGACGCCCTCTGTGACGTCCATTGTCCTGGGCTTGTAGTGCTAATCACTTGTGGATGGGACAGAAGATGCACAGTGTCCTAAATTGGAAGCATTTTAAGGGATGTGGAGGGAAAAAAAGGCAGGATTCCTTATGCATCAAAATGACTGGCAGTTTTAAGTGAGATGAGGCCTCTGTATAACCTCTCTTGAGTGTTTTGATAAGGAAATGATCAGACTTAGAAAAAGCATCCCCATGTCTGATTTTTTTTTTTAATGGGCCAGTTACCTCCCAATTTCATTAACATTTGTCTATAAAGAGATTGAATTTCCACAAGTTCAATCATTCTTTGTTCCTAAATGAGGGCAATGAATGTATGTTTTCGTCTCAAAGACATTGAAAAAGTGTCTTGGGTTATAATGTTCTCTATATGATGAAGATTTAGGTCACTGACAGCTCCAGATTTCATGATCTCACAAGTAATAACAGTTCAGGGAGTTTTTCTAGAATTTTACTGTTGTCCATAATAATGTTTTCCTTAGTGTGAGTGAGTGAAAGCCAGTCAGTCGTGTCCGACTCATTGCAACCCCATGGACCGTAGCCCACCAGGCTCCTCTGTCCATGGAATTCTCCAGGCAAGAATCCTGGAGTGGGTGGCCATTCCCTTCTCCAGGGGATCTTCCTGAGCCAGGGATCGAACCCAGGTCTCCTGCACTGCAGGCAGATTCTTTACTGTCTGAGCCACCAGCAAAGCCCTTTCCTTAATAGTTATGTATGGCTCTAGTTTTATCATTTATTTCTGATTTAACTATTCAAATTTGTTTTCTGATCACTAGGATGTAGTAGATTTGGCAGATTTCTAGACTCTGGGAATCTCCTTATTATGTTTCTGAAAAGTGTCATTTCTCTTGTACATTCCCCCCAAGTTATGAATTATAGGAAACACCCCAAATATATGTCATTTATATTAAGTGCTTACAAGAAAAACATACCACTTTAAAATTTTTTATTTTCCCCAACAAAGCCTAAGGAACACGACTTGTCTTCAAAGCTCATGCTCCTGCTTAATCGCTCAGTCGTGTCCATCTCTTTGAGACTTCATGGACTGTAGCCCAACAGGCTCCTCTGTCCACAGGATTTTCCAGGCAAAAATACTGGAGTAGATTGCCATTCCCTCCTCTGAGGGATCTTCCCGACCCAGGGATCGAACCTGAGTTTCCTGTGCCTCCTGCATTGCAGAGATTCTTTACCACTGAGCCACCGGGAAAGCCTGCCAGCAACTATCCGTATAAACTGCAATATAAATCCATATAAATGGCAGTGTAAAACATGGGTCGTTAAATGAAAAACAATTTTTATACCCCTGATAGAGGTTGTCGTGGATTATTACCTTTATCAGCATTCTCACTTATAACTTGAATAAGATAAGCTGGAGGAGATTCTGAAATCATCATAGCTCTTTGTAAGGTACATATTCTTTGTGTCAGAGGAAATCTGACCAAAGCAAATTTCTTAGTTATATTAGATCAATGGAACATACACAAAGTTTCTGTTATTTTAGCTTCCTTTGAACACCCTTATATTAGGCTTTAGAAAGCTGTCCAGAAAACGCCTTTTGTCCACCTACTAGTGTTGAGTTATTTGTGAAAATATGTGGTAGAAAAATGAATCAGACTCTTTTGAATAGGACTGAGTTTCTATAAACCTCTACCAGATTACTTTTTGTGTGTGTGTAGACAGCTTTGTACCTGTAACTAATTTAGAGACACGGGCATTGCACATGTATTTGATAGCAATTGCTATTCAGCTCTTATAACCTGGGAATCAAGACCACGTGGCTGCCTGAGTACATAGTTTTTTAGGCCCACATAATTTTTAGTTGAGAAAGGTATTGCCAACACAAGATTGAGGTTCCCACAAGTGGCGAATGGTTTACATTAGAAAGTAGATTTAAAACAGCAACTGTCGATTACCTACAGGAGAATTATCCCTCATTACCTCATTCCAGGATTTCTGTACAGCCTTATAGCTGACCTTCTAAATGAGAAACTGTCAGCCAGCCAATCCAATCTGCCAGATAAGTGGTCCTAAAAGCCTGTCTTTATTACCCATCTTCTAATACACATTGAACATCTACACTATAATAAATATGAGACACCAGCAGGAACACTGGCTTTCAGAGCTCTTTGTAATCTGTTTCTACCTTATGTATCTTATTTCCCTCCAATCCGAGAGACTGGCCTGCCTTGCTCTAACTGGACCAATGTCGTTGTCCCAAGGACAAGCCACACTCACTTTTGCCTCCAAGACTACCAT